GGGGGGGGGGGGGGGGGGGTTGGAGTTGCAACAATGCGTTCTTTAGTTGCCAGCATTGGTGAACAAGCGGGGACTCAATCAAGCACAGTTGGCCAAAGGAGCAGGGGATAGGAAGGCATGGGGTGTAATCAAGTGTAAAACATCCTACACAATGTTGAACGGAGAGATGCGTGACCTCAGAGTTATGGGAGCAGGCTGGAAGGAGGGGGTGGGCTTATTTAGCAAATATGTAGAAGTGCTTTTGACCCAATAGTGACCACTTTATAAGCACACCACCACCGACACACAAACCCGCCGGTCGTTAATCATCATTTGTGTTGAGAGCAGGCCTTGTTTAAACTGAATAATGCTGTACACGAACACGGCGCCTCCTGCATAGATTGCGGTACTTGCTGATTTTTGTTGACTCATTACTAAAGCTTTTTTTTCTCCCCTCTCTTGCTCTCTTTCAGGCTGGTGAACGGGGGGCTGTGAGAGGTTGTTGTGGAGGGCAGAGGAAGCCATGTGGATCTGGTTACCCCCGGCGTTTCCCACAAAAGTGATCAGAGACTGAAAGTTGAGAGCATGTGTACCTTGCAGCAGGTTTGCTTGCCTTTCCCAGTTCAAACTGTCCATTGTGCTCCCGATCTGCCCACAGACCCTCCTGTACGTTCTCATGCCCATCAGGTCGGTCAGGTTAACTGCCAAAGGGAGGTAGCAGGGAGGAGGGCAACACTATCTCATCTCTGTCGCTCTGGAGCCTGCGCAACACATTGGAAGAAAGGGAGAGAAGTATATACTACAGCCGTTTGATGAGCAGCAGGGCAATAAATTCATTAATCATCATTATATGCCTCATCAAACTCTTTGCCAGCCTCTCCATGGGAGTTACACAAATTAGCCAGTGAAAAAAGCAGTAATTTTAGAGGAGCTAGGTAAGTGCTTTTTGATTGCTTTCTTGAACAATGCTTCCCCTGACAAGCTAATAAATCAGATCTTTCTATACTTAAAGTGCAGCTACTGTGAACCCAATCTGAGCTCCCCAAACAAAAAAAGGGAGCCTGTGTGGGACAAGAGGTTTTACTACAGCCAAAGCTCTTTCACAGATTTGTTTTGGATTCCTCCTCTTTATTCCCCAACAAAGAGGCCCGGGTACAAAGCTTTTGATAACTGAATGAACTGCTGTTATGTCTCCAGATGCAACCAGGGATTTTCACATATTGAATCAAAATAACCTCATGTTTGACTTGAGATGAAGAAGAAAAAAAACTGAGCCAACAGTGACCATATGGTGCAAAATTCAATTAGCCCTTCTTTTTTTCCTTTCTTTCTTTCTTTCTTCCTTTTTTTTTGAAGCTAGTCTTGATTTAAACATATTAGCACGAGTGCGACGCATGGACAGACACATAGCTGCAGCTTGCAAGCTTTGGTCCATACAGAGAAATCTTAGCTGGCAGGTGATACATACCTACTACAGCGATCATATCCTTCCATCCAGATGGCCATTCCACGCAAGACCAACAAATCATCCATCAGACTGGAAACGGCTTCTTTATTGAAAATGAGGTCAATAGAAGATTTGAGCCTGGTTTGTGGCTGGCCATGTTAGCCTTCTCCAGGTATTAGCAGCTCTCAGTTAATGCGTTAGATGGGAGGTCTCGTGTGGGAAGGGATGCAGTTGGAGGGGTTAGCGATGGGTGGGGGGGGGAGTAGTTAGGGGTGGTCTTTATCTGTTTAAAGCCCCTCTCTGATGAGATTACCTATTGGAGTTGGCTGTAAACCAGTCTGTTAATCAGGATGCAGCAGCCAACACACTCCCACTGGCATGCAGCCACCGCTTGATTTTTTTTTTTTTTTTTTTGTATGGGTGGCAGCGGCGGAGTTCAGTTGAGAAAAAGAAACCACCGAATATTTTTTCATCTGTGTCTAGAATATTCAGGTGTCAAGTGTAACATGAGCAGGCATGGGCAAGAACTAAGCTGATTTGTTTTACTCCATGTTTATGTTCAGATTTGACTGCCATCTAATTTGTTTGTTGAATGACACAACCCCACAGCTATACCTGTATGCACCAAAACCAGAGCAGCCGGTGTGGTGCGTCCTGATTGGACGGTGTGCGAGTTGCATCACCAGCAGGCACTTTACTAAATTGGCTTTGAGACACCGTGGCACATGGGGCCCATGCGGCTTCCTTCCCTCATTGTGTGGGAGTTGAGGGCCAGTCTGGAGCAGAGAGTTTTGAATGAGTCCAGCAGTGGTGGCGTCTCCTCGCCCCTCCTCATTAACGTTCTCTCCGCACACCGCTGACCTGAGCGCGGCTTAAAATAACTTGGGGAGGAGGAGAAAAAAGAGAAAAAAAAGGCAGTGCCCCGTTTATCTCCATCTTGGGAACTGATCCAATTAAGTAAGTGCCCATTTGCATAGATCAGACTACACCAAACTGGGAAGAAAAGTGGAAAGCTCGGAGCAAACAAAAGGGCCAGCAGTGAGAAAAGGTCCATTTCTTGTGCAAGGTGGTTTGGAGAGGGTAAAGTGTCCCAGATGAATGGTGGATAATGGTAATGTTACAGGCAGTGTTGGTATGTGTGAGTGCTCACGTTGGAGCAAGTGTGTGTGTGTGTGTGTGTGTGAGCACGGGCATTATAGCGGTCATTAGGACAGATATCTGTGTGGTAATGTGGAGCAGATGTTGAGAAGAAAGGGATCATTTAAAAAGGGCAAATGTAAATAAACAGTCAGGCAGCTTGGTACCCCTCCTCCCTCCTGGACCCTCTGAAGTCACTGAAAGAAAACAGTTCATCAATCTTCATCACAACCATTAATATTGTAGTATCAGAGGGCATTACAACACATATGTTGACGCCCCTTCTTAATGTTTCCTCGCAAACCACATCTTTTATTACCATATAACAAATCCACACGTTACATATGTACAAATATCCTGACTACCTTGTGTGTGATGAAAACTGCTGAGGAGGATGTAAAGTATCAGGGTTGTGTCACAAAACACAGGCGTCAGTCTGTGTTGCAGGAGCGGTGCTGAACTTGCTCACCTTGTGAGGGAGGAGCCAGGAGCCAGGCGAGGGTACAGACGGGACCTGTACATGTTCACAGGAGGAAGAACCTGCCGGTGTCTCCTCCTCCTCCTCCACACTGGATGCACACACTTGCTGCTCTGTGGCTGTGCATACCTTTGGGGGCTTTGGCGTGGAGTTTAAGTCCCTCCTGCGCATGTATGTGTTTTTAATGTCTGTCCGTGTGTGCACACGTCGCCTTCTCCAGAGCAGGGCAGAACCCCCCCCTCCCCCCCACACCGCCTTAGTGTGAGCGCCGGGGAGCCCTTACATGGCCACTGAACACAGACCCTTTGCAGTCAGAGGGTCAGAGGCTCACGCCACACTGCTGTCAGAGCAGATTGGTCAATGAGCCGCTCCTCTCAAGGAGTCAAGGTGCTCGCAGAGTAGCGCTCTGTGGGTATTTGTTTGTGTTATGTCATTTCTACATTAGAGATAGACAACTTGTCTGCGTCCTTGAAACATTTTTGGGATAATTTAGGCTGATTGTATAATTGTATCCATCCTTGAATTAAAACTATGACCTTTTTAAAAAATAATCAGTTTTTTTAATTTTGGTTTTGCATTATGAACACAATTTGATAATCCAAGCATACCTAAATAGATTTATATTTGCCACTGGACCCTAATGCCTCAATTCTCCCAACCTCAACCCCTGGCCTCCTAGGACTTCATAGTTCATCACTCTTCGTTAGTGTTTTTTCCCCCCACCTTTTTTCCCCTTCTTCATAGAAATGTTGTATTTATGTTGGGGGGGGGGGACACTTAAACCATCTCACAGCTGAAAATTACACATGTAATCTCTCCCAGAGGAACTCCACGGAGAAATAGAAAAACAGTCCATGAAGTGCAAAAAAACAGTGGTAAATCACTCTCTGTCACCTTATCTGGGTCGCTTTAAAGGGTGTTCAAGACCGTTTTATAACTCCACTTAACATGAACGCTGGTGGTGCCAAAGGCTTGAGACTCAAGTTACCTTGACGTGACTTTTTTTTCTTTTTTCTTTCAGGATTCCACAAGGTATAGGTGGACGCACACATTTCAGTCGTCAGTTGTTTGATTCAAAGTAAAATTGAATCTGTTTTACAAGTTGTTAGGCCCAGACACGACTCACATCCTGTCAACTCAAGTCTCGTGTTCAGTCTTACCAGAAGACTAAAGCTGAGATATTGTGTCCTCAATTACCCTTCTCATTTAGGAAATGATGATGATTAAATAGCCATGAGCAGTTCCTGAACTCCTCACTAAAGAAGAGTCGCTCACTTCTTTACATTTAGAACTTAATGAAAAAGAACTCATCGCTCATATTCTAGTGACACATCATGCAGGGACTGAAAAACTCAGAGCCAAATATACAATTTGTTATAATGGTATTATTGCAGCACTATAGAATATACTGCATATGCTTTAGAAATACAAGTCTGCATCAGATGCACAGCGGGTCCCAGTAAAGCATCACAGTGATATTTTGTTTCCTTTTGAAGTTGAGGGCTATTTTTGAAGAGGAAAAGTGAAAATCCAGGGGAAAGAAATATCTCAACAGCCAACTGCATTTCAGTCCCAGATATAAGCGAACCCCGTTTCTGAATAAATAAAATAAAACAAAAAAAAAACACCCTCCATTTATTTCTACCGCATTAGGCCACAACCGTGTTGCTGATCTCACACACACCCTGTTCGGGTCAAGTACAGCTGGTGTCTTTTTACACATTTGAGCTAAATTTGACCCCAACTCGTATACGTATGAGTGCCATGTAGACGGGCTCTTTATCAGCGGGCTGTTTATACGGACGCACCGCATTGGTCCGCAGAGTAATCCCCTCAGTGATATTGGGAGTGTGTTTATCAGCAGGTTTGGGTTTCACCTTGTGGTCTGACACAGTAGCATTTGAGAGGCGTGCACAGAGCTGTCCAGTGGCAGGTGTCTAATCTGTTTGGTCCACAGCTCCAAGTTTCTTCACAAGTCTGCCCCTGCAGCGAATCTCTTGCCAAACATATTTCAGGCTTGCACTTTGGGTAAACCGGGACCCACTGGGTCACCAGGCAAATGGCATTTAATATAAACAATTTAATGGCACGTGCTCTCCTCTAAAATACGTATGCTTTAGTTCGGCCAGTGCTTATGTTTTTTTTTTATGCCTGAAGAATTGTAAACTTCTATTATAGGAAAACACATATTTTAGTGGTTGATCCAACGCCAATAATACCTGTGATGAATGTACAACAGGATGCCAAGATAATTACAATAATAAAGTGATTTATTATTCTCAAACAAACAAGAAACCACGGTTTACTCTTGTTATTCATTAGTCTTATATTAGCACTATTTTCAGTCACCACTGAAAGTCTCCCCGATGACACCAACACTGTCGTATCTACTTTTAGAGTAAACACAAACCGACGGAGAAGCTGTTGCTGGTGTTCCGACAAAGAATACGATAGTTTTACTGTGTGTCTCTATTGATAGAGCAATATGCAAATACTAATTATGCATTTTTTTCGATTGGCAAAAAAAGGTACATTTTACTCGTTCGCGTGTAAGCATGAGTATTTAGCCTAATAGTTCAATTTAAATAAACCGTGAGTCGCGGCCTTTAGGATTCACGTAGCCTATCCAATGGCCTTTATTTCCAGTTTTGGAGAAGAAGAAAAAAAAATGTTTAATTGATATGACGAGAGTAATAAGAAGCATTTTTTCCCAAACACCCCGGATTGTGCGTCTGAACGCTCAACAGTAACAAAGTCGGAGTGAAGGGTACAGACCTTATCCTCCTCTTTTCTCTTCTGCTTCTTCTCTTGTCGGATTATTTCCCCCATTTCCACACGTGGGAACGGTTTCACCCCTACTTAGTATTCTCACAATGTAGCAATCCCAACAATGAACCGACACGCCATTCAAGCGCAGGGGAAGCCAGGGACCAAGTTGTATTAAGTTGCAGGGAGCATCTCCCCTGCAGGCTATACCATGCCTCTGATGAAGGGTTGCACATCCTCTCGCTCCGCTCCTCCAAGTAATCATGGGGTTAATTGACTGGCTTTCATCACGCCCAGAAATAGAATAAGTATAATCAACGATCAAATATATATCCTATATTTTAATTAGTGAGATTTTTTTTTACACGATATGTCCTATATAGTGACCATGTTGAGCTGAAATACAGTGACATCAGATAAGCTGTCGATATATGCTATGGAAATACAATATATGATTGAAATACTTCCTTTAAACATAATGATAATAATGATATTAATAGTAATAATAATAATAAATAGGCTAATTACAGTGCAGATACTCAATGCAGACTCTTCAGGAGCATATATGTCTTGTGCATTTTGATAAACAGCAGTTGGGGAGACAGAGCTGAATGGTAAATGTGGACATGCTTGGGAGAAAAACAAATATATGATAACCTATAATATGTATAAAAAAAATAAAATATCTACAGCATAAAAGCAGTATAAAAAAGTGGTCTGATTTATTTTTAAGGCGGTTTCAATAGTGAGAGGATCGTCAGGCATGTCTTTTCCTGTTCCCTGTTCGGGATAGTTTGGTAGATCATCCTCCGAACATTCCCCGTGTATTTTTAAATTAAGAAAGTTAATCGGAATGACTCCATCACCCGGCTCTGCGTTTGGTTTGCACCGTTGTAACCCCACACCCCCTCCACCACACACACACAAACACACACACACACACACACACACACACACACACACACGCACACACACACACACACACGACACAATTCACAGTGTTTACCTATTCCCACACAGATGATTTACACCGCAGGAATCGTGTGTATATTGTCCCTGTGAAATGTTACTTCTTCAATCAATTCTGAGAAATCGACGCGATATCTAATAAAACTCTTAATACTCTCTGAGGGGACATTGCATCGAACAGTTCAATCCTCAGGGGACCAGCAAAGAAAAAACATAATTATGCTATTTAGCCGGCTGATGTGTCGCAATCACTGCTCCAGCACACTCTGTCAGATTAAAATAGAGGGCCCGAGTAGAGGACATTAAGGCTAAGGGAATTATATAAACCTCAGGGGAGATTTCAAATTGGAGAAGGGGAAAGTAAACTATGGAGATTAATGGCAGCCATAAACAAGAGCATGCTGTCCCACTTCAGTGGAGGTCAACAATAACAACATTAATAATAATAATAATAATAATAATAATAATAATAATGATAATGGTAATAATAATTCTGTGCCGTTTGAATTACACTGTAAAAACCACAGAATAAACGAATGTTAGTCAGAAATGTCAGGTCAAATAATAAAAAAGAAAAATAGGCCTATACATTTTAGTGGCCCAAATCTCTTCCTTTTTTGAGAATGCCTCAAAATATTTGATAATAGCAATAGTGATCCTCATAATAATCACAGTAAATTGTTGTTTAGTTTTATTTTTCTTTCGTTGAATGTATAAATCCAGCATTAATAAATCAGCAACAAAAAAAAAGCACCTCTCTTTCTTCAGTTTGCCTCGGAAATACCCTTCTGGTTTTTTTTTGTTCTGCATGTCGGTCAAGTATGTAATTTGTGCTTTTTTTATCCACTTGTCAAAGTTGCTATAATCCTCGTAATAACTGTGATCATTGTGTGTGCCCCATTGGCTCCACTTCCTTTTAACCAGGCCATTTGATCAGGGATGGGTTTCCGTGACGGATTAACAAAGAGTCCCCCTGAAATTAGGAGCAAGTGTGACACCTACCTGCAGAAGTTGGAAGAGTTAGAGGACAGCGCCTGGCTACCGGCTGCACAGTGTAATCGGTCTGTCTCTGCATGTGTGCATGACAGCTTTCTCCCTTTCCTCCAAACACCAGTGTGTCACATCTAACGCGCCATTAAAGAGACTCTCCATTAATGATATATAATAGGCCAGTATGTTCTAAATGCATGGTCGCGTCCCTTTTAACAGCTTTGCCACGCCTTGGAAAATAGTAATGAGCTCTAAATTTGGCATAAAATCGAGCTCATTACCGGAGTTCACCACCTGATTGCTCTGCATAAAACACGATAGGTAATTGGGTTAAATGACTGCGCCTCGGTGTTGTTATTATATCAATATCCACTTTTAGAATCATGCTCAAGTAAAAAGAGGGCCTCGTTGTATTCAAAGAAAAAATTAAATGGTGATAAGCCATTGACCAAAATGTACTTCTGTGTTGTTTCCAACATTTTTCAGTCACAAAAAAAAAAACTATGAATATTTGCACGACCCAAAATGAAACTGAACCCTTTTATTGTTTAGATATTCCAACATCTTTATGCTGAATGTAGGCCTTTACTTTCAGTTTGTCAGAGCTCTCACTACCAAAATGGTTTACCATAGAAACATCTGTCACGGTGCAAAATTGAATTCATATTTCGTGTAGATAAATTGGCCTTGAAGCACTTTTGACACATGTCAGGCAAAGCCAATGGCTCACCAAAAATAATCGCTGCACAAGCATATATTTTCTTTCCATAATTTACTTCAAAGATAGTGTGTTGTCCATTTTAAATACAAAAATGCTACATTAAATATACATGTTAGTCTTTAATACAAATAGACTTAGGCGGCTGCAGCGATTAAGACCATTCTCTTTACACTTTAGGATTAACCATTCAGAAACTAAATCTTTGAAGATAAGCATTTGCTCTGAAAATAACATGTTCTCAGAATTTGCTTCATCATTGTCCTTTTTTCTTTTCGTTTTTTAATGCAACCACAAAGAAAATAAATAAAAGTCCGCACTGAGTGGAAAATAATCAGGTATTAAATGTTTGACATACCTTTCTTTAGTTCATAAGGGGAGTCTTTACAAAGATCTATCTGCGTTTGGCTTCTGACTTTCTGGCTCTCCCTTACCAAAGCCTCTGCTCTATTTAACACAGTCTGGTTTAATCCATTGAAATGTGCCGTGGAGCCCGTGGTTACCGAGCCGTGGTTACTGTGAAGATGTCCAAAACTGCCCCCATAGTTCGTGTAGCCGGGGTAGAAGGGGGAGGTGTAGTACAGAGGCCTGGATAGGACCGTGCTGTTGGGGAGCGGGCAATGAGGGGAGGACCGTGATGGAGACGCGTTGGTGCCCATTGCTGCGCTCTGACCCAAACCGGGGCAAGCCTGTGGCGCCTCTCCGCTGCCCTTACACCTGTCTGAGGACGTGGCGATCTCGGCAAGGGACCAGAGTTTGGGTTTCGGGGCCGAAGGGGGCGAGTGGATAACAGAGGTCACGTTGCTGGTCACCGTACCCGGCGCATGGCTCAAATCTGACGGCTTGTCTTGCTGCGCAGCGGCCTGGTTCCCTCGGGGCACCGCCGAGGGAGACGAAGTGGTTGGTTTTGCGGAATCCGGCAGCAACTCTGTAGTCCGCTCCTCCTGGTCTTTTAACTCCGAGTCGCTCAGAAGGGGATCCGGGTCTTTGCCATGGTTCTCCTCTTTAAATCTGTCACAGCCTATGTCCCCTGGGTTCAGCAGTTTATGATCTAAAGCACAAATAAAGAATAGAGTTACTGCCAAATAAGCGTGACATTAAAACGTTGATGAAACTGGAACATATGTTTCGGGCAATCGCGAGGCAAACTGGAATCGGATGTATAAACATAATTAGGCTATTTATGCACGTTTCCCTTAAAAACATTTGTAGCACATGCTATAAATGTCCCTCATAAAGATGTGTGATGTAAAAAAGGTGAGCGAATTGCTCTCCATAATTATGAAAGAGTACAACAGTGTGATATAATTAAAGTCTGAGCGTACAGCAAGTTGACTATTTTAATTCACAAATATATTTGCAGCACTAATTATTATCGCATCGCTCATGATGATAATAAGCATTCATCAACCGTTCAAAGCTGGAATATAATGAGCATACAAAGGCGATATTTTTGTAGCCGAATACCCAGCGCAATACACCAGCTGTATCCTTATTATGCAGTTAAAGATAAATTGACTGCTAAACACTTTGCGTCACCAGCAATTTCAGCCCCCGAGAAGTCAAACGAGGGGAGTTCAAGGTGATTATTATTTAAAGCAATTGTCCCATTATAAATAATATACCACCATTAACCAGCAATCAATTTTGCACCCTGAGTGGAAATGACTGCGATGAAAAATTGATGATTTTTTTTTTTTTGGCTTTTTTTTTTTCTCTCTCTCTCTGCACCACCAACCTGCTTCGGTGTCTGTGGAGTCTCCCTTGTCTGTGGGCTTGTTTGGCTCGTCGTCGTCGTTTTTCTCCAAATCAATATTCTCGTCTTCCTCCTCATCCTCGCTCCGGTTCCGAGGGGTCCAGGTCATCTTGTTCTCCTTCTTTAGCCTCCTCCTGGCGTTGGCGAACCAGGTGGACACCTGGGTGAGGGTCATCTTAGTGATGATGGCCAGCATGATCTTCTCTCCCTTGGTCGGGTAGGGGTTCTTGCGGTGCTCGCCGAGCCAGGCCTTCAGGGTGGCGGTGGCGTCCCGGGTTGCGTTTTTACGATATGCTGGGTCACCATAGTAGGTGCCCAAGGGTGATGCATAAGGGTGGTATCCTATTGAGCCGGCCATGCCCGTGGTGTGGTCATAGGGAGAACCCTGTGATACAGAAACATAATAATGAAAAAGTGTGTAAAAGTTCGCTCACATTCATTTTTCTGGACTGCTTCAAAAATAGTTAAAAGGACACACAAACATGAACACATGCACGCGCATGGACATTTGCGCGCACCGACGCACGCACGCACGCGCATACACACGCACACACATACATGAATACACTGGTTTTAATCCAGTAGTTCAAGTTTGAAGTTAATGTGTATGAAGTTGTTTTTAACATGACTGGGTATTTGCAATTTCAGTTGCTATATGCGTTTTTATTATTATTTACATTTTCATTTATATGTCAGCATGAAGCGAATATTATTCTCGCCATTAAAATTCTACAATTTGCAATTATGACAACGTATTTACATTATGCACAAAGGGCCTTATACACTTGTGCTTATTTCCCTATTCTACTGGGATCAGCCTTTGTAGTGCAGCCACGTCTGAATGAGTTACGTGTGCTGCCACGAGAAAACAACAAAAGTGAAAGACAATTTTCCTCCGTTTTTCTCTTGTCCAAAGTTGCAATATTTCAGTTTTACAACTGGCACAATTAATATGATTGCAGGAAACATGCAGTGACCTAAATTGCCATCACACGGCGTCGGTTATGAGCATAAAGCTTCGGCTCAGCATTGTCCACGCTTTCTCATACAACAACTACAATTTCCTTAAGAGCCACGTAATATCACACAACGCAGTTGAAATACTTCTGTCCCCAACAACATGCTTTCTTGATCTGACATTCTGTAACATTATATTCACGCACTCCCTAGTGACGCACATTTGCCTCTTAATCGCTTGACTCCGCATGCACAGTGAGTATTTTGGACTTCTATAACGAGCGAATATGTCCTCGCTTTGTATTTCCTATTATATTTAATAATCACCTTTAGTTTACTCACCACGTACGAGGTGAATGTGGCAGCCGCTGCCGCGTCCGCACTGTATGGCAAGTGGGAGTTGTAGCCTGGCGAGGCGCTGGTGAACGCGGTAGATCCGGCATAGGGCGCAAAAGCAGATCCCGAAGAGGATCTCCCAAGTTCCTCGGTTCTGGGTCCCGATATCATGCTGGTGCTGTACGCAGGGCATGAATACAGGGCTAGAGACGCAGACGGCTGGTACAAGTAGCCCTGAGGATACGCCATGCTGGAGCCCGGAGAGTCTAAGCCACTTAACTTGCGCACTTTCCTCCCTTTATTTTCTCATGCGCTGCTGTCGGAGCGCATAGAGCCGTGTGTCTGCAGACCAGCTGCCTGCCCCCCTCCTCCTTCTAAATGACAATGGTGAAGGGGAAAAAAAGTAAAAGTGATTAAATAAAGAGAGGCTTAGGTGTTGGGTGGAATATTTTGGTCGCTGCCGGCCAGCCAGCCACTGTCCGTCGGCTGTTTTGTCTCGTTTTGTTTTTCTGTTGCTTCCTTATCTGAGTTGAACCCTCGCTCTCATGCCCGCGCAGAAGTTTTTTTTTTTACCCGTCGGACGGGGGGTTTGCTTGGGAAAATGTCCTGCCAAGATGCTAAGTTGAAAAATTGAGGATCCTGACGCTTACTATGCTCCTCCTCTCGGGGTGTAGTCACCGAAGGAAAAGGCGAGCTTATGCTGGGTAACCACAGCCCTGCCCAAATCCATGCTCTCTCCCCCTCTCTCTCTTTCTCTCTCTCTCTCTCTTGCTCTTCCTTCTCACCCCCTCCCTCCCTCTCTCTCTCTCTCTCTCTCTCTCTCTCTCTCTCTCTCTCTCTCTCGCGCATTAACTAACAATCCGTCTCATTCTCTATTTCTCTATTTTTTCACCCTTTAACAAGGCTCCTTGCAGTAAGTCTCAAGTGCGCCTGGCAGCCCCCCTTTGGATGGCGACATCATGCGAGTCTGTCAACTCCCAACTTTCTTCTTTTTTTTTCTTCTTTTTTTCCCCCCATACACGAAGCCGTCACTTTCACACTTGATCAATAACAAATCGGCTGTTGTGTGCCAGGATGTGGGGATATGGGCTTGCAAGATACCGGCAGGAATTAAAAAAGGCGCTCCACTGCTGCGCTCTCTTTTTGTTAATCTTTCTTTGTTGGTAAAATGTCGTCATTTTAAGTATATGTGCGTTAAATCAACAGACTTGATGCTCCGTGATCTCAGCGCGCCTTGCGTTAAAATCCGCAATGGGGGTTTTCAAATGGATTACGACTGTTGTGCACGTCGACTTTCTAACGCCAGACGAATTTTTCTTTGGTAAGATATGTGACAACTGAAAAGTGAAAGTAAGATGGCGCAAACAGCAGCTGGCCGAACACATCTATGAGAACAGTTACTGTGTGTAAACAAACTTTGCCTTATCGACATTTATGTGCTGTGATTGTTGAATAATGTTCTGTCTGCGCCGTGTTTGGACGATTTACTGTGGGCGACGGCTAAATAGTTTTTGCAATAGATCCTGGAATAAACCAGTCAGATACACACTCCCAGAAAGTCATAAACCCTCAAGCCAGGGCAGATTAGTGCCAACTACACCAAATCCGCCTGGACCAGTGGATGTAATCTCATTTGATCACTGCAGATACGTTTCAGTGGTGAAATACTGGAGCCAAGATTTATTTAATATGCCACTGTTAAGCGGCAATTACCTTGTTTAGGCCTATTTCACAAATATTAGACTTCTGTTATGCCATAGCCCAGGGAAGAAAAAAATAGTATTAACTTTATTATTGTTGAATTATTTCCTGATTTAAAAAGTCAAATAATAATTCAGAGAGTTTTACAATTAAATCAACCTGGTTTGCATGATGCGCTTGACTAACGTTGCTTTGAAAAAAATTAATATATTAATAGGCTATTATAAATATTATTCACTTTTTTTATCAGCCATCTACAAGCCATTTTCATCCTGGTGATTGACTTTCCAGTTCAAGTCTCAGATAAGCCGAAAGGGATCGCTGTAGGCGCTGCTAAAGAGTGTGTGCACACGCTGTCACGTGTTCTTTTACGCTCTGAAAACCTCTAGAGAGCAGAGAATGATGACGCTGGTACAGTGGGAGCCGACGCACACTTCAGAGAGGGAGAGAGAGAGAGAGGGAGGGAGAAATAAAGAAAGAAAGAAGGATGGCTGGCTGCACAAAGCGACCCTACCATAATCAGATGACAGTGATACGATGAGACCTACAGTGGTGTCACAGCCTCCTGCAGTGTTTAGACAATCTACTAATTACTGGAACTTTTCTCATAACAGCAGCTACAGGAAGAACCAATTGAATCCGCTAGTGCTGACAGTTCTCTTTGCTTATGTTAAATATGGGGGGAATAGCATAGCATCATTATTAGCTACGGTTATGTATCCCTTAATTATTGTGCGTCATTTCTATACCGAAGTACAAAAAAAAAAAATCCACATTTTAAAATAATTTGTGCCACGTGGGCCGCTACAAACGTACCTGCAGAACTGGTGATATTATTATTATCATTATTATTATTGTTTATTAGATAAAAGAAGCGTCTGTCTCATATGTAATGCGCTCTGGTTCAGGCTCTGAAGTAGGAGGAGGACCTATAATTTGAGATCACGGAGCCTATAATAGGAGTTGGTTATGGCAACTGCTTCCAACTCTCAGCACTGCACTGATAGAGGAGGAGGTGTCGGTGAGTATAGATTTGCTCCTTTGCGCTTTTTTTTATGTGGAAAAGTGCATATGCGTTTTAGATGCGTAAAACAATAGGTTGTTCTCAGGTGATCCGATTCTAAATCTCTATTAATGTTGTTTTGACGGCGTCTAACTTTTCTCGCTTCCTCTTCGTTACCGCGTCGTCTTCTTTTATTTTCCCTGAGCAAACGACCCCGGGATTGACGCATGAAAACGGCTTTACGTGGCAAAGACGAGGCGAATGAAAGATGATGCATGCCACTTAAAATGCCCGAGGGAGCAAGTGTAATCTAAATTGGATATAGAGGCTATTATTACACAACATTATGCGTTGTGGCGGACTAATTGCGCGGCCGGGTGAGTTAAACAGTAAGTTAATGTCGAGTGGCGGACAGGTTTCCGGAGCGCACAAGGTCAGCTGCACTGCTCCCAAGCCTTTTGGTGGTATGGAGAAAAAAAAATGCTTGAAGTATTCATGGGATTTTTAACCATTCTAAATCTGTGTCCTAAACCGATTAGTTGACACCAATTTTTCTTTGATGTATTAGCTGAGGGCTTTTGCCACTTGGAAGCCAATTGAAATTCAAAACAGTTTTCGCTGCAAATGCTTTGGGGAGATCTGCTGCAAATAATGGATGTAATTTATTTTTGACCTTGCATTTTTATTATTTTTTTGAAGAGGGGATTATTAAATGATTAAACATATGTGCACTATGCTATTTGACTAAACAATTGGCATCCTTAGCTATTATTTTTGTTAAAGCACAGCAGTAATTTTACCTCTTTATTCATGCATTTTAAAATGTGAATGGCATCGGTTATGTCTATAGTTTTATTTATTTTTATTGTACTGACTGTTAAAAGAAATTGTATTTAAAAAAAATGTGACTGTTTGTCTTTGTTTTTAATTTGTTCAGATCCATGTTGAGGAAGTCTTCTCACGTCACCAAGCAGTCAGTGAAATGCACCCCTCCTAACCCCCCAAACACACACACACACACACACACACACACACACACACACACACACACACTTACCTTACTCTGGCACCAATTAAATTCACATTTTTTACTTTTTGAGGTAATAATTATTCAACAGTGGACACACAGGCATATGTTACGCTCAGTTCTGCATTCTAACTATATCACATTTTGTCTGTTTCAAATTTAATTAGCTCTGTAGTTGCTGTGACTGTTTATACAGAAAGGTTTAATATTTTTCCAGATAAATATCTCATCTTGCTCACAGGAGCTGATACACAAATCATGATTTGATGATTTTATTTGGCTTTGAAAAAATCACACAATTTACATGGAGCACAATGAGCCGATGTGGGTTTCAGGAGACAGAATCCATTTTCTGATCTCTTTTCTGTTCTTGTGATCTCTTCTTCTTTTATTGACCTGAATGAAGACGTATGGAGCCAGAGTGTGTGTTTGGTTTGCTCCTGATGGGGCCTGTCTGCCCCCCCCCCCTCTCTCCCTGCTCCCCATGATCCCCGCAAGGCTGAGTGGCAGGGCTCTGGATTGGCTAAGTGATGAAATGATGACCCTATTATGAGAAGCGATTCCAAAATGAGAGGTATCAGACAAAGATTGCACCCTTCTCTCACTGCCACGCCGTCCTCCCGCACCACACTGCCAGCTGTGCAGATGATGATTGATTCGCTCGAGATGGATCACAGGAAGCACCCATTGATTTTTCAGTGTTTTATCAAAACTATTTATTTACAGTTGTATCCAAAGGGCATATCCAGGTTCACCCGTTACCCACTATTCCAAATGGGGGATGTTTTAAGAAGGATAATTCTCCCTCCTTCATGACAAGACAAATGACCTGTAATATTATTTCAGAAATGAGTCAATAGGCTCAGTGACTGAACGAAAATTGACTGCATATAATGAAGCCTGAGTGTGACTATGGGCTCTTTCAGGGGCCCTGCTGCAGACTCCACTGTCAGCATATATACAGTGATGCCAGACCTCCGAGTGTTCAACACACAATACAGGCCTGCTCCTACAGCTGGGACAAAATAAACCTCATGTTAGCGAATATCACAGATGGTGAATCCACACACTCAACATCCCCCTCACCAGTGTCTACCTGTACATTTTGATTCATGATGTGAGCGTTTCCGTGCCTGACTGTTGTCTAACCAGACCCACGGCTAAATAGCAGGTTTTGTTTTGAAGATGCTATAGGTGCCATATGGTAATCATCTAAATCCCATACTACTCAAAGCTCTCGGGGCATGTAGGATGTAGTCCTTCCTGCAATGCCTCCATGACGGTAAAGTGATACAACGTACAAATCAAATGACTATACCAGAATGCTAAAACCACAGTGTGGGAGCTCTGCCCTAGATATTTGCTCTGACTTAATCCAATTGAAATAGTATGAGTGAGTTGCAGGGGCTCCCAGGTCTGTTGCCTGCTTATGTATGTGATGCATAATGGAAGTTGACGAGGTTGGTGATAGATCACAGCCCAGGTAATGTAAACACATTAATCCCTCAGGGTTCATGTGCATGTTCTTTCTCTCTTTTTCTTCTTTCTCTTTCTGTCAGCTTCTTTTTCTGTTTCTCTCTCCCTCCCCCCCCTTTCCATGTTCATCATCTTCCCTAAATGCGTTAGTGGAGCACAAAACCAGAAGCAGCCCTAATCTGTCAACATGCCCTTTAATTGGAGGGAAAAAACAACACGTGCTTCTGGTTGTGCCATTCCTAAGTGCACATGCCAAAGAAACACAGAGTTCACGGAAGAAGTGATCCCGGGAGAGCTGGGCATAATTAAAAGTATCTTTTAATAGGCTTGTAATGCTGAGCCTGACTCTTGTTGCCTTAAGTAGAGGGCAAACTCTGTGGCTGGAGACGGACATGCGAGGGGCTTCTGCTGAGGGAGCCTGTAAACGATACGCTGCCCGGCCGTCATCATCAGACATGCAGTCTCTAACTCAGTCGCCACAC